ATTTGAGCTGAGTTTGTCCATCTTCTATTTTAAACTTCGTAGTGAAGGGGGGAAAATGAGAGAAAAGAAACTTCAGGTGCATCCCTTCAAAGAAAGGTGCACACAAAGCCAAAAGACCTTTCTGAAGCCCTAAACCTTCTTCCTTCCCACTGACTCCGCTGTGAGCCAGGCTCCCCGCCTCAGCCTGAACCTGCTGGTCCAGGGGAGCTCACAGGAGAGCGTCTCAGTCGCTATAAAAAACCGCAAGAACCTTGCCCAGACCCCAACAGCAAATACCAGGAGCAACAGTGAGAGGAGAAGCGATGTGTGCTACTGGCACCTGTGATCCTGCACAATGGCCTGCACACCTTCAAAACAAGGGCAGGGAGAACCAAGAAGTTGATGAAGTTGCTGCTAACTTGAGCAACAGCAACTTCCTTCCCTTAGCGAGAGCTCAGTATTGGCTCCTGTCATAAGTTAATTTGCCCACCCTGGTTGGGGAGAGGGGATAACGTACTAGGAATAGACTCAGAGGCTTTGCGGAGATGAACAGCCTGACATGCTGCTCGAGGGAGGGAGGAACCGTTCCCAAAATTCTAAATACAGAGAAAACAATGGAAGTCTGCAGCTTCCATTGGTATTTTCTGCTGGCAGCTGAAGAAGCCTGATAGTATTTTTTGGTTAAAAGAGGAAAAAAAACTAATCTACAAACATAGTAGTTGTAAAGTTTTAAAAAGATGGCTAAAAGGATTTTATTTCTGAACCGTTCTCATCCTTGACTCCCATCAATTAAAATCATTTTTTAATCGGGAAAGACACTAGGTCAGTCTTCAGTGCAGGGCAGGAGCACACGGCGGGCCTGTATACGTTGGCTACCTCTTGGTTGCATGTTGGGGTAAGACCTGGCCGCACACCCACGCGCCACCCATTCAGCTTTCCTTTAAAAGGAAACCCACAGCACCTGGCAAGAAGGAGTGCAAGGGACCATCACCACATTTGTCCAGGTGAGCATCCCTAGCGGAAAAGGGATGTTCTCTTTGAAAGGACAACTGAAGCAATGATTACCCACTCACCACCATCATCATCAGCGTGTCTTCTTAAAACCCAGCTGTGAGGACTAAAAGTGTGCTGAGCACCATGATTGAAATACGATAATTAGCGACCTACCTTCTGCCTTCAAGGCCAAAAGTGAGCTTTTCAAAAAGCCCTAGGTCTGTGCTCTGACCTCCCATGATGCAACCCACAAAATAACTGCACTGTAGCTCCTCATGGAGCACAAGCATTTTAATGAAACATCTAAGCATGATTCAGACATTTCAGATGGACAAAGTCCAACATATTTCCAAAGAGCAGTAGGTTGTTCCAATCTCAGTCTCTTCTAGTCGTGAGCATTTTTTCCAGCCAAAACTAGACCAACTCAAGCTTATAAGCAATCCCAGGGCATTTAAGTCCACATCTTTCAAAAGCACAGGGTGCTTTTGAAA